CTTTTTAATTATGGAATGAGACACTAAATCAGACATTTTCTTATAATTTGCCACTACTAATAGGAATCTGGTTACTGGTCTTATGCTTGATTACGTTGATTATTAGTCTCAGATGATCCAAAAATGTTCAGATGATATGGTTACTATACTCATTCCAGTTGACAAAACAGAATCAACTCTAGTTTAGTAGGCTTAAGTGCTTAACTGCAGCTCAAGTTTTATGACAATAAAGAGATGTTGAGGCTAATGTGTTTTTATGGTTTTTGTTGGACCTTATCTGAATCAAAACCAATTTGAATGTGTTGAATGTGTTGAATGTGATAAGATAATGTTGAATTGGACCAGTGCAAACTTAATGAATTTGGTCCATCTGTAATGGACTCATATTGGATTAGATCAGGTTGGGCCATTTTTTGTTATGATGCAGAAATTCGAACTCTTATAGATGGCATAGAAGCAGCACAAAGAGAAGGAATCAAAAAGCAAATCATCAATTCAGACCCTCTACAACTAGTATCTTTTTTGAATAGTAATATGAAGACCTCTTACTGGCTAGAAACAATGCATTGGTTTCGTGTTAGAAATCTTCTGTCTTCAGTGACAACAACTATTCAGCTCTCCGACCCAACGTACAACAACCCAGTAATGTTAGCATCGTTACCGATTTTCCAATCATCTTCTACATTGAAATCATGTTATTGAAAAAACAAATACCACCCTTTTCTCTATTTCTGCATATGCCTGTCCAAAATGAATGGCATGTTTTGACAACACAAATTATAAGCAAAAAATTATAGAACGTTTTGGCCATCGGTTGTCTAGACGATTCTTAATTAAAAAAAAAAAATGATAGTTTGATCATTCGGTTCGATGGATGGCCCGTTATGACAACAAAAAGTACAAGCAAAAAAATTGAGTGTGTGAGGTCCATTAAGCAGTATTATACGTGTTATGTCATTTGAGCGTGCGACTCATATGACCCGAAAATGGAATTGTTTTGGCCACTGATTTTCAAGTCGACGGTTCGAACAGACGGCCCGTTCTGACAACAAAAATTAAAAAGAAAAAATAAATAAAGGCAAAAAAACATTGAACGGGTCGACGGTTCGACCGCCTGGGTTAGTGGGTCAATGATCAATTCAACAGTTTTTTACCAGGGACCGAGATTGGGAATTTTGGATAACAGTTCGACTGCCCGGGTCAATGGGTCATTGATTGATTCAACGGTTTTCGGCTAGGGGACCGGGATTGTGGTAAAACGGAACCGGTTGCCTGGACGGTTCCTGGGCCAAAATGTCCTTCCGTCTGGGTCAAAGGCGGTTCGAAAACCATGCTTTTTTGTGTTTTTGGATTTTCACTATTCAAAGCTTTCTTCTACTGTTGGCTTTATTCGAGCGTGTGTGGTATGTTCTTTTTTTTTCATTTTTTGCTTTTGTTTTTTGTCTTTTGTTTTGTGTGTGTGTGTGTGTGTGTTTGGTCTTCTTCTTCAAGATCCTCCAAAACGGTATAGGGTTTACCACTATTTTATTTCTTCCCTTTTGTTTTTTCTTTGGGTTTTATTGTGTAGTGTTTTTTTTCTTTATTTTCTTACAAGACGATTTGCCTTGTCTCTTTCTTTGATTGCATCTATGTTTAACTTCGTTTCAAAGCGGAACTTTGAATTCGATTTTTTGGTTTTTTTTCCTTGGGTTTTCCAGTTTGGTGGATTTACCGCCAATTTCTTTTTTATGTGTTTAAGGTCACTTTGGATTTATCTTTCAAGGTTTTGAAATCCCTTGTAATGTCCACCCTTCCCATGACTATGACTACAAAGTTATTTTGTCTAATTATTGATGTCTAGAAAAAACGACCCAAAAATGAAACTGTTCTGGCCACCGGTTTCCAAGTCGACGGTTCGAACGGATGGCCCATTTTAACAACAAAAATAAAAATGAATAAAAAATGGGTTTGGCCAAGAACTGGGTTTGGGGTAAAATGGAACTGGTTGCCTGGACGCAAGGTTCAAAGTATCGATACGATACGCGTATCGATAGTATCGTATCGGTACTTAGAAACACACGAAACTCTTTTTTTTTTATGTTTTTTCAAATTTTAGTTTTTTGGGAAGCTAAAAATAAGCTTTTTTTTATTAAAAAAAAAAGATGGGGTTCTGAAACACCCGTATCTTTTTCAAAAGATATGATATGGGGCATATCGTATCAATACTTTAAACCATGCCTGGACGGTTCTCGGGCCAAATAGTCCTACTATCCAAGTCAACTAGGAGTTCTCGATGTGAAACAAAGGACAACTATGAAGTAGATCTCATAAGTCAGAACTATCACTATATGATCGTATTAATTCTTTTATATGAGATGCTTTGTTGGAACAATATTTAAAAAATGAGCACATGATGATCTCTTTTAATTCTTTATATGAGTTTCAAGATTTGAGTACTTATAATTGCAAGTTTCTTATTGAAAAACCATTATCTTTTTTAATATAGCAAATAGCAGCGTTGCAATTCCAACCCCTTCCACTAGTATTGTTTTTAAATGAGACCTAACCCAATGTTCCAAGGGTTCAAGGCCAAAGGGCATTCTTGACCATAAAAGGGTAAGATTGGAATAAAAGATATATAAGTCACATGGTGTCACGTGTAAACAGATTGTGATGGCGCATTCATGGGGGAAAATATAGTCAATTGTCATAAAAATTAAGGGTACTTTTAAGGGACTTTGAAAGCAGTAAAGGTAGCGCTAGTCCATTTCTTTTAAATTAAGGGTAACTTAAGAGATTTTCCCATTCTTTTAATTATTTTTTCAAAGTAAAGTAGTGTTGTGTAAGTTAATAGAACCTACCCTGTATTTTATAACCATTTTTAAACCTATCTTGTGTTTTGCAAATAACAAAAACATCCCCCGAGGTTCCAAGTTCCAATCATTATGGCATTTAAACACTTTTGCTTTCTTTTTAGATTTACACGTAAGGTTGTCAATGGATCGAGCTTGTCCTGATTTACCTAAACCAATTGCGCTGGTTTTGGTTTCATGACCTGTAATGATGGGTCAAATTAACCCTTTCTTTTGTAGCACAGGATTCGCTAAGAATACAAGTATCCAAATCTGATTTTGTGACCAATCACGAGTGAACGTGCCAATGCTTTGTACACACGGGACCCATATGTTGTGTAATTCCCATTAATTCATCAATGTCTAATAATGGGATATTTTTATTGTTTGTTTTGGTGATGTACCATTTAGTATTATATTGTATTGAAGAGTACCAAATTGCCAATTGAGGGATGTAAATACATTATTTCACAATTAACTCCACCATTACTCTCATTAAATACACATTATAAAAATCAAGTATAACACTTATAATGAGCTTTAAACCTTCATATCTCAAATTAAAGGTATGGCCACGCAACACTAGGATGTTAATTTACAGAATAAAATCTTAAAAGTACGTTATATATCTTAATAATTAAAAAATATGAATTTACGTATGATATGTATTTCAGAAATTCCAATGGATCTGATATGATTTAAATTAATATTATATTTTTTCTATAAATGATTAATTAATACTTTAATTTATAACAAATAGCAAAATATTTGTTATTTACAAAATCAACTAAATTTATTTCAGTAACTAGTGTGATCATTAAATTAGTAACTAATATAAGTAACAAATAGCAAAATATTTGTTATTTACAAAATCAACTAAATTTATTTCAGTAACTAGTGTGATCATTAAATTAGTAACTAATATAAGTAATTCATCTATACTATTTAAAGCAAATGCTTGCATTGGTAATATAGTAATTTTATATTTGTATTAGTAACTTTCTAGAAGTTGTATAGTTATTAGCTAGCATATTAAGAATTTAATACTAAGTTGGCCTTTTGTTATAAAAAATATAAAATAATTGATATATTAATTAAAATATAATAGTTGCATTCCACATTCTCAGTAATTAACTAAATAATAATAGATTTTTAGATTAATTATATATTTCTAAAATTATTAACTAGTAATAAATTAAATAATAACATATTAATGGCTTTATGAATGTAGTAGTTTGTAAAAGCTACAACATATGTTCTTGATTGATGCATCACCGATGTTTGTAGGCTCATCAATGGGTTGGGCAGTACCCGAATTGATTAGGCCAGTTTAATTCTTGATATATTATTCCGATATATATATATATAAAAGGTCCATCGAATGATACCCAATTGTTTCAAGAATAATTCAACTTTAGATCTAAAACTACAGACCTTAATGGGTCTGATTTGGTTCCGGGTCTTAATATTTCTTATCGGGTCTGTTATGGTTCTACCTAAACCACACCCAGACCCGACCCGTTGACAGAACTAATATTCATGTTTTGATCATTAAAATTGAAGCAAATGTTATTGCTCGATTTTAGAATGCTGAACTATTATCGCCTGTCAATCTGTTAAGAGGAGCGTCACGAATACCTGGTCTGAGGTAATATTGATTTTTCAAGTGGACCAGTGTCAATGTAATTTGGCCGAGGCCCATGGGCCAAGTTCCCGGTTGACTGAGGGGGTTGATTGGTCAAGACTCAAAGTCAAAGCCTTCCCGGTTAGGCGGTAAGTACCTTTGCAAGGCATTTATTTATTTGTTTTTTTTTTTTTGCTGTGGGCGCCCCCAACGACCTTACGGGCTATTACCAAAAAAACCCGACCTTACAGGCACATTACAACATGATTAAGAACATTTTCCTACCACGGGAGATGTTCTCAATGTATAATGAATTGTGCATGTGAGGTCGGTCCGTAAGGGGCAGATCCCAATTCAATTCCTATTACAGTTCTCGGTTCATTTTCAAATTGAATATTGCAAACAAAAACATGGAAAAGAAAAGCTCGCTTGACTGCTACTAACTTCTGCAATGCCTTTCATTTTAATTCAAATGACATGCGATCTAACTTCTGTAATGCCTTTTTGTTAAAATTTGCATTCTTCTCTTGAATTAGTAGGAAAAAAAGAAAGAAAAAAAAAACCACTTTGATGAATCATATGAAAAAAATGCCCCATAAAAGATGAAAGAAAGAAAAAAATATACCAACCTACGAAACAAGATCAACACATGTTTTCGTCTTTCGGACGATCTGATCAGGAATCCGCTGGCTGGAAGTGACAAGAATTAATAAATCTTCATTTTCTTCACGTGCCGATCCTATCGAGATTTTCCGACACGGTTTTCATCCTTGGTCTCACCTCCGGATCTGGTTCCGTGCATGCGAGAGCCGCATGAAACACCGCGAGCACTTCCTTCTTTGCATGCACTTCCTTGAGCAGCATGGGGTCCACCATCTCCGACAACAGGTTCTCCTCTTCAAATCCCTTCCTCACCCATCTCACCAGATCCGAGGTCGCACCGGTCGCTGTTGATGTGGTCGGAGATGAGAATTCCGGAGCCTTCCCGGTCAGCATTTCGAGCAATACGACACCAAACGAGTATACATCCCACTTCTGGGTGGGTCGGCTACCTGCCAGCCGAGCCTCGGGGGCCTTGTAATTGTTGACTCGCTCCGCTGGGGAAGGTTTGATATAAGGGAGAGCTCCACCCATAAGGCCCCCGGGACCAGATGAAGTGGCACCATCGCCGGCGATGCTGATCAATCGGTTGAGTCCAAAATCGGAAATGTATGGTTGGAAATCTGTGTCAAGGAGGATGTTGGAGGGCTTAATGTCTCCGTGGACGAATTTCCGTGGGTTGCATTCGTGGAGGTAAGCCAAGCCCCGAGCCGTTCCCTTGGCAATCTTCAATCGGGTCGACCAGGGCAAAGTCGTAGACGGTTGGCCACTCTTCCCTGAAACAGTTCTGCTGAGTTAGGTGGGTTCTGCATGAAAAAAGATTTAAAATACCTCTCTCTCTCTCGATCGTTCGCTCTCACTCTCGTACACAGGCACATGCAGGTGGGTTAAAAAATATAATGTTAAACAAATCGATTCGACCATTTTAATGTGCTTACCACCAACTCAACAGGAAATGAGAATTGAGAAGAGATCTATAAATATTAATTTTCTGCTGTTCAATAGTAAATAACTGGGTTGACCGTTGACACAATAAAGATGCATAGCCTCCAATTTAATCAAGTTTTATAATGTGCAGGTGGGCCATTTATAATGGTTGGCGTTTGCGGGTTGTGTATAAGTGTTCATACATGTCATGCAGCCCCAGAACCTAGCACTATTATAATTGTTGATTGCTTGTCCCCCCTCCCTCCCTCTCTTAACCCCCACCTACTCACCACTAAAGAAAAAAAAAAAAAAAAATCTATCCACATTCGCGAGTGAACTAGAGGAGCAAGTAGCACTTACCCATGACAAAATGAAAAATGGTTATGGATCGGCCAAGAATGATCCAATTTCTTGTTTTGTTTTTTCTTTTTCAATTTCCATCAGATCAATTCGCTCACCGGGTTTCAGGAGGGTTGATCAAATCGATTCAATCATTCAAACGAAAACTTAGGACGTAGGAGATAAAAAAAAAAGGTAGATTATAAAGACCCCTGTACTATGGGGTCTGTGACAAAGACCCCCCTTATTTTGTTTTACGACAAAAACTCCCCGAGACAAAGATTACAGTATCTTTTAATCTCTATATTACCCTTCTGACGAGAAAAACACTGTTCACCTTTCCAACCTCGCGATACACTAACAGCAGCGGCGGATGGGCGGTAATCCCCTCTACCTCGCCCTGCTGACGGTTCAATTCAGCTATCGCCGTTGACGTACCGTGTAAGTTAGCTCGCTTCATATAGAAAACGGAAAAAAGCCCTAGTTTCCACTTCTTCAGAAATTCTGCTTGGCTAGGTCGGGAATGGCTTCTTCGAAAGTCGATTCCCGTTTGAGTCTGGTAATTACTCCAGCTCTAGAGAAGATCATCAAGAATTGTTCCTGGAGGAAACACTCCAAGCTAGTTTATGAATGCAAATTTGTAATCGTTAGCTTCTCCCGAAAAGTTTTCTTCTACTCCCGACGATGCTGAACCGGACAGTTCAGTCCCCGGTCCGTAGGGAAGTCCGACACGGATGGAAGCATGACACAGTTTGTCCAGGGGTTCATTGCCAAGATCATGCAAGACATCGATCTGGTTTTGAATCCTTCCACCCCAGGGAAACCACCGCTGGGTGTCCATGATGGTGCATTTGAGACTACGACCGTCGAAACCACCAACCCGACAGATTTGTTGGATTCAACGGACAAGGACATGTTGGATGCCAAGTATTGGGAAATCAGTATGTATAGGACTGCTTTGAAAGGGAGAAAGGGGGACCTGAGCCGGATCTGAAGAAACAGTAAATGAAGAGAGAGATCGGGATTGAATTAAATGGGTTCAATCCCGATGCTATTAAGGGGAAGGGGAAGGGGAAGAAGAAAGATCAAGAGAGGGAGAGGGATAGAAATGTGAAGGAATCTGTAGTAGAGGGGATTATCGCCCATCCGCCTCTGCTGTTAGTGTATCGGGGAAGATAAACAGTGTTTTTTCGTCAAAAAGGTAGTATGGGGTGTAACGGTATTTTTGGATGAAAGGCTAACGGAAGGGGGTTTTTACCTCACGGTCATAATACAGGGGGTCTTTGTCACAAAACAACAGGGGGGACTTTGTTACAGACCCCATACCCATATTATGGTGGGGTCTTTGTAATTTAACCAAAAAAACAATGTAAAAGTGAGAAATCTATCTAAAGATTCTAGACTCTATAAATTTGCGTGGGTACAGATAGATGCCTAACTTTCTTCTCTTTGATAGATGCTTAACTTTCGAGTTCGCTTTGGTTTCCTTAAAGTTAAAAAGAGGGAAGAGTGCTTTTGATGGTGGATCAACCCTTTTTTTCCTTGTGGGTCAACCTTAACGGGTCCAATAAAAGATCAATGACAGAATGCCACACAAAACCAGCTGGTGTGATGTGGTGATCTTCTCTCTGTAAGATCCCATCTGTCGTTCTCCGCACCAAGCATGGAATGACGACAACGAATAGATCATTTATGACGATACTATCCGACCGTTTAAATAGTATCCAATGGTCATTGTTGTCGTCGACAACCGCGTAGTTGGCCCACCGATCAAAATATTTCAGAACCCGACCTTGGCTTGTAATATAGCCAACGTCCAACCAACGGTCACTATCGTTCTATGGAATCCATTTTTGCTTCGACAGCAGATGTAGATCATATCTACGAGTCTATCACATGGGCTCATTAATTGAATTTCTTGAGTTCTCCTTACTCCCTTACTCCACTAGTCCACAGAGAGAGAGACAGAGAGTTCAGAATTTGAGAGCAAAATAATAAAAGGTCAAAAAACTTACCACGAATAGCAGAAGCCAAGCTTCCATTTGAGATGAAATCAGATATGAGAAGCTTTTCATCAGCAGCCCAGTAATAAGCCCTTAACCTTACAATATTGGGGTGCTTAACGCGTCCGATCGCCTGTATCTCCGCTGCAAATTCTTTATACCTCTGTCCATCACCTTCACCCAATCTCCTCACCGCCACGGGAACTCCATTATTCAGCACCACCTTGTAAACAATTCCCAATCCGCTCTTCCCCAATACATACGCCGACGCTCTCAAAAGCTCATCCAATTCGAACGTAAATCCCTTATCGATAGCAACCAGTTCACCTTCTCCTCCTCCCCCTCCCCCACTACTACTTCCTCCCTTATCAGACTCCACTTCTGAGTCGTTACTCGGGAACGAGTTCCAACATGCGCCAGAACAGAACTTTTTGCCCTCGCCGCCACCGAATTTTCCTTTACCGGTGCAGCTGCAACTGCCGGAATCTTTTCTCTTCCAGTATATGTAGACGATGAGCAAGCCAATGACCGCGACTCCGGCGGCGTCTGCAACGGCGATTAATATTATGAAACCTGGTTTTAGCCCTTTCTTTGAATTGGTATCAGGTACCGTTTCCCGATTCTGCTGGTCTACTGGAGAACTCTTTGGCGGATTCCCGCTGCAAGGTGTTTGGAGAGGAAATCCACACAAGGAAGGGTTGTTAAGGAATGCGGTCGGCCCTTGATTTTCAAAAGTGCCGGCCTGAGGGATTTGTCCGCTGAGGTTGTTATGTCTAAGATCGAAGCTTACCGTCACCGGCAGTCTGCCAAGTGATCTTGGGATCTCGCCGGAAAAATGATTGAAAGAGAGGTTTAGAGTCCCGGACAGTGATTTCAAATCGCCGAGATCAGCTGGGATCGATCCGTTGAATTCGTTTGACGATAAATCGAGTTGAACCAAGTTGTCGAGATTGGGCCAAATTCCGTCGGGAATCTCGCCGGAGAATTTGTTACCGGAGAGAACAAGCCTCTGCAGCTGACGGCAATTCGCAAGGTCACTCGAGAGGGATCCGGAAAGCGAGTTTTGCGAAAGATCAAGGTTCTGAAGGCGGGGGAGATGGCAGACCGAAGGCGGAAGCGGACCAGATAGATTGTTACCGTAGAGGAAGATACTGTGGAGAGAGGTAGCGTTGAAGAGCTGAAGAGGAATGGAACCGTAGAAGCGGTTGCCGTGGAGGTTGAGTCTGCGGAGAAAGATAAGAGCTCCGAGCTCGGAGGGTATGTAGCCGCGGAGATTCTGTCCGGAGATGGCGATTGCGACGACGCGAGGGTCGGAGTATCCGGCGACATTCATGCAGGAAATCCCGGACCAGTGGCATGGATCGGTGTCGTTTTCGTTCCAGGTGGAGAATGCGGAGACGTCTGACGTCTGGTCGACGGCAGACTTCAAAGCCAGAAGGGAGAGACCGTCGGGGGACAGAGAGATGGCAAAATTAGGGTTTTGGAGCAGCAGAAAAAGAAAGAAGAGTAGAAAGAGCTTCATCTTGTGCCGGATTCCCAATCTGCGCAGAAAATCATTAATGGAAGGATGGCTCGTAATTGTGGAAGGTTGGGAGTTTACACACGAATAAGAAGGGGGAGTGTGTGCGGGTTGGTGGCCTTCCCTTTAATATTTATTGCCCGTTAGACTCTAGAGAGAGAAACGGTAAGAACTAGAGAGAGAGAGAGGGCGAGATTTGATTGCGCGATCCACCTCCCGCCAAAAGGAGATCGACGGAAAGGGAGTAGAAGCAAAGCAAGGCCTTCAAATGATGATGACGGAGACATCGATCGATTGTTAGAAAATTTGGAATTGAATAAAAAAATCACAGCCGTTGAGTTGAGTTGAGTCACTGAGTGTAGCGGAACGGTTTGTAACCGGTTCGGTCATCGGTGGTGTTGTGTTTGGGAATGGGGAGGTGAAACTGGAACCGGAAGCCGGAAGCCGGAAGCCGGAAACAGACAGACAGAAAAATTTTCACCTTAGGGGGAGATGGGTGTATGTTTTGGTAGAATAGAAGTATAGAACAAACGTGCTTTCCTTTTCCATCGTACGGATGCATACGGTTAAGCGCGTAATAGTAAGAGTTGGGCCGGCCCTGTTCTGTTCAGTAGCGGTAGCCCAATCTCCTTCCATGTGGCGCATTACGACTGGTCCCGTTGGACCCATGTGGCCATATGTCGGTCTGAACCCGAAGCTAAGCCCAAATGGAAGAAGGAGATGAGATCCAGGGGCTCTTACTTGTCAGCAGGACTAAGAACTAACCGTCCAATCACTGAAACCCCATATGCATGACAGCATGAGATATGTGACGCATCGGAACTATATCTTACTTCTATCAGTCTCGGTTATCGGTCCATGTGCTACACTTGTGATTTTCGAACTATAATAACTTATCCCCCATCTATGGACTACGAACTACGAAGAGAGAGAGAGAGAGACTGTAGTTGATATGTAATGTTTTTCCAGGTAACGTAGATCGTATTTCCCTGGGCATATCGTGGAGATGGGAAGGAATGCCAAGTGGCAATATATTTTCCTAAAATTAATAAATGGGTTATGGGGCAGTTGGGGATGGAGAGGATTAGCAAATCAAATCAAGTAATAATTACAGAGAGGCATGCATCACTTTCACTAATTTGATAATTTCTATTTCTCATCGTAGCACTAGCACTATATATTTTTTCTTTCTAACTTTTGGAAAATTGCATCTTAAGACTTAAAAGTTGCTTCATCGCTAATTTCTTACTGTTGATTATTGCAAGTAAGCGTAGAGAAGATGGCATGAGAGGAAGGAATCTCACAAACAATCATGAAAAATATGCTTAGAAGCTACAAAAGTAGAAGAATAAAGAAGTACTGATAAAAAAAAAAAGTAGAAGAATAAAGAAGCATTGTTGCTGTATATTTTGTTTGTCCACCTTGTGCATTATCACTCACCTTTTGACTTTGTATGAGAAGCACTTGCTGGTACTCTTCTGTCTTTGTTTGTTTGGTTATCTCTAAGGCTCGTTCATAATAAGACCTAAACCGATCAAATTGACTAACCCGGTCTGATCCAATTCGAGTTGGTCGGTTTTTCTTTAGTATCGATTGATTTTGGATTATAAAAAAATATAAACTGATAGTTCGGTTCAGTTTTGGTTTTCATGTACGAAAATCGAAATTGAATCGACTCGATATATTATATATATATATATATATATATATATATATATCTGATATATTTCAGTTTAATATATATTTCAGATATATATTTGTGGAAATATATATATTTCAGCTTTATTTCAGAAATATATATATTATATATAAAATATTAGTTTTAATCCATCAAATCATTTTTATTTTTTAGGCATCCAGCCTTTGTTTTGTTAGACTTGAATCCTTTACTGCTCACACCGAGAGAATCATTCACAAAACCGACCCAAATCGATTCAAACCAACTATGTCAGTTTTATTTAGTACTAAGTCAATTTCGGTTTTATTTCTAGGTAAACCGACCAGGTCAGATCAGTTAAAAAAACGCCAATAAACCGACTCAACCCGAATCGTAAACAGCCCTAGTTATCTCTATTACTCCAAAATATATATCACCACCATGTGATGGTTGTTTTATATAATTACTAATAATAGCAACCATCTAACAAGTAATAAGTAATAACCACTTCAATCGGTACCGGGTCCACCACCATTTCCTCAACCCAAATATATTACAAAGTTGCTGTTCCAGTCTTCCAGAAGCTGAGCTCATACAATGCTCACCAGCAGATCCGATTTTACTCCAACTCAATAAAACCTGATAACGCTGATTTATAACCTGAAGTTAAAACAATCCTTCCTTGATCTTGAGTAAATAGAGATAGGAATGACTTGTGTATGTTTTGAATATATTATTAATTGGGCTCGTTATTTTGCAAGCTTTTAAGAAAAGATTCTTTGTTTTGTGTGTCTCCATTAAACAAGAGAAAAAACCCAGGAGACAGCGTAGCATGGAAGCAATATTGGGGTTTGTTCATTTTTGTATAATCTCTAGCCATAGAACAATAGAAACAATTATGGGGCAAGACYAATCATGATATGCCACATCAGCTTCGCGTGAAGAGAACTGATGTGGCTTATCTCTATTAGGAGTAGGATTTATAGACGATTAGAATAAATAAAATTACAGCTCCTATATGAAGGTGTAGGTCCTATATCTATAACTTGGAGACATGTCCTGTTTCTCGAGGACAGCGACTCACCGTCGAAATTATTCCAATCTAAAAGATTGGCGAACCGTGTTCTTACACCAATAGCACTTGACCCTCATTATATTTTGTCTTCTTTGTTCTTGATTGCATCTGTGTGTATGTGTTCTAGGTTGTGAAAAAAAAAACCTAAGCAATCATCAGCATGATGATGACAAAGAATAACAATATAAACTAGTTAGTAGTTACATGTATTCTGCACCACTTAGTACATTGCTCATGAGAAAAAAGCAAAATTGGAATTTCTTTTGAATTGAACATGGAGCTTCACTAATAAATGGTCTACAGAATTTTCACCTTGCAAGCTAATAGGAGAAATCGAGATCTCCGAATAACAAACTTCCTCTCAAGCTCCTGTTACCTCAACCTTTTTCTGTTCCACAGTATCCAAAATATGGCTTGTTCGATCCATTTAGACAGTGCACACGGGCGTGTATGTGTGTATGCTGTATAAGAGAGAGGGAGAGAGTTGAAATATGATAATGATACGTGTGGGACAATGCCCAAAGATGGATATCAATACAATCACAAATATGGAAAATGGGGATACTATTCTTCGTCATCATCTAAGCCTTATCCCGACTATATGGAATCAGCTATATGAATCCTGTTTCACTATTTCCTACTCTTCAGTGCCATACATACATACAGCCATACAGGAATTAGTCTCCCATATAATATGCTTATACCATGCTTCTATATCTTAGTTTTTAAAACTAAATATCATTTCTCACTCATGTCCTTCCAAATGTAATTAAATTTGACACAAGTGTTGGTGCTATAGACTACATCTAAGTGTTCGTGTAGTATCCAGTATTATAGTTTTTTTAACTGCAAGTTAAAGTGTTTCATTAATTAAAACAAACAAAGTACAAAGCCAGCCCCTATACAAGTACCTGTACAAGGACATAACCATATCTGAACCTATACCAAAATTACAACCAATATTATAACCTTCTATAGCTTTACAAAAAGAAAACCAGTCATAAAAGGGTGATCCGCCAACCAAGATAACACCATCCCAACATCTTTACAACCACCTCCCCTACATTCTGCCTTCCCTCAAATATTCTACCATTTTTTTTCACACTGCCCAAAAAACTGTTGCTGGAATAATGCTCCAAGTCACCTTATTAGCCTTACTCAAACCCCTCTGGTACCAAGCACCCATAAAGCTCTTCACATCAACTGGGAAACACATCTTAACACCAAATGGATCCAGCCTTTTGTTCCAAATCCAATAGACAAAATCCCAACTCAATCAAAGACAGTGGTTTCCTTACTTCTGCTGCACATGGGACAACCAAAATCTGCCACTCGTAAGCCTCTTCGGGAATTGGGATCTGCTTTCACTTAGGGTGCCTCACAACCACCTCACAGGCACATCCCACTGTATTGGGAATATCCCTCGTAAATAATCACACAAATATGGGAGATGTTACTGATGCACAGTGGGATGTATCTTGAGGTCGGTGTGAGGCACCATACGTGCAGAGCAGATCCGGTTTCCTCCTGTCACCAAAGTGCTTTTTGATGCCACATCAGCATATCAGTGCTACTAACGAATTCAAATCTACCCCCTATCTACTCCTCATACGTGGGTGCCTCACTGTCACATCTACCATGCATTGGGAACATCTCCTGTTAATGATGATTTATAAGTACGAGAGATGTTTCCACTACATAGTAGGATGTGCGCGTGAAATGGTGTGAGGAGCAGATCCGGTCTCCCTATTGCCTGGCGCCCCAAAAGCATCCCACTCAATGAGAGGCCACCAGCTGTCCTCCCACAGGTACTCTACCCTCAGTACATGCAGAGTTAATGGGACAGCCGTTAGCTCTAAATCTACACCCAAAACCAAACTCTCGACTTGGACCTAGGGCTGTTCACGGGTTGGGTTGGGTCGGTTTACTGATGTTTTTCCAACCGACCCGACCTGGTCAGGTTACCTAAAATTGAAACCAAAACCAACCCTGTGTTAAGCAAAACTGACTTGATCGGTTTGAGTCAATTTGGGTCAGTTTCGTCTCTACGTAGTGGTGACTCAATTGCTGTTCATTTATGGCTCTACATTCCCAAAGGAAGCCGACATTTCCTTAATGTTTTGTGACCCATCTATGGATCCAGATTTTGTGGAGGGAGCAGGGTTTAAGAGTACTATTTGCTGGAGTAAGATTTCAATTTGCAGGAAACTATATAGTGGAAGGATCAAACTATCAAAACCAGCCAGATCCAACAAAAGCGAAGAAGATGCTCTCTGCTACTGTAGATAAGTAGTGGTGAAATACTGAAATTTAAGGCAAACATTTATTCATGTACTCTTTTTTTATTCACTGATGGAGTGATGGGTCTTGAGTCACCTTTAATGTTTACAACATACCTCCTGATGAACTCGATAGTGATGAACTAAGTAGGTTGTAACTACTAATTAGGAACTAACTAATAAATCGGTTTGGATCGGGTCGATTTCGATTTTCATGTATGAAAATCGAAACCAAACCTAATCATCGGTTTATGATTTTTTATAACCCAAAACCAACTGGTACTGAAGAAAACCCAGCCGACTCGGATTGGTCGGTTTAATCGGATTGGGTCTTCTTATGAACAGCCCTACCTGGACCTATGCAACCCTGCATTTCTCTTATCCGGTCGTCTCTAGCGCCAATTACCGTTGCGGCAGAAACACTAGAGGTACGAACCCGCCCCTCTCATCTCATCTCTCTCTTATATTCTTTATTTTTTAACTTTTTTAATACCAAAAGGATCACGACGAGCACTTGACTATTCTACAGGTGCATTTTTTTCCTCCTCATCTTATTTTTTATTTGTATTTTTCCCAACCTGTTCTATGTATTTATTTTTGATAAGTTCTTTTTTTTTTTCAATCCAAAACAAAGAAGGAGAGGTTTCACCCACCACCGGCCATCTCCGGTAACCACCAGTAACAGTATACATGTGTGCATTTTTTGCTCTCTTCCATCTACTCTTTTTTTTTTTTTACATTTGCGTTTTTGCCAAAATATTACATTGATATATGTTACTGATTTTTTCTCCTTATTCATCATATAAAACATGAAAATGGTAACTGATGTTGTTTGATCCAAGGTGTCCTGAACCAACATTGAAGTTAGATAATCCTGCCAACTGGCGAAGCCAATGTAGAAGGACGAAACCGCGCAGCAAGATCTGAAACTAAGAAAGTGATCAGAAGCCCAAGGAGTTATTCCCCGGGTAGACACTCCAATGCTCAAGTCAATAAGAAGAATGGGTGGTCGTGCTGAGTAGTTGAGAGAAACGTGTTGGTCTGACCAGAATAACGATATGGAGTCTGAAGAGTCAAAAAGTCCCTTATCTTGAGTGGAGGTTACCTACTTATAGCTGAAAATCCATGTCTGATTCGGATGAGGCTTTTGGGGTTGTCGGGATGAGGTTATCCACCGAGGTCTTTGGGATAAGACCTGATTCCCAATGGAGCTGTCCTTATCCGTGCAAGCTCTCATTTCTTGGTCATGCTTATCCTTCCTACTTGGTGTTGATGTGGCCGAAAAGATAAGACAGCCGTAGAGATGACACGTGGCACTTGTTTTTGCCAGGCAGAAAATGGTACTTGTGTTTTGAAAAACATACTTCCTAAAAATTTTTACCCAAACAGTTTTTAAAGCAAAAAAAACCAATGAAAAGTATTGTATACATTTTGTACTTTGTTATTTTTAAAAGTATAAAAATAGAACTCTATTTTTTATTTTTTGTGGGCACAGATTTGCCCCATAGAAGCCGATCTCCTATCCAAATGGCCTAATCATGTTTTAAAATGTCAAACTGACGTTAAAAGTGCCGCCAACAAGTTTATGCTATCTTCTGCGATGATACCAGAATCTATTGAACAAGTTGGCTGAACTGAAAAGTGATTTTTTTTTGGGTAGAATACTTAAAACCTCCCTTGATATTTCGCCTAAATAGTAATACTATACCATCCCCTCACTATTTAAATTGGACTTGGACCTTCTCTCTTAATTTTAGGATCAGATTGACATGAAATTAATTCAAAGAAAAAAAACCATCATCTTCAATCTTGGAACAGTGAACTTGGTTGTTCATATCACTGCTGTATCCAATTTCTGCCAATGAAGTTCTAATAACATCTCACACAAGGGCATTTTTTGAGATCGACTTCTATCAGGACAAATGTGTGTCCACACCATTCTAACAGCTTTTCGCAATTTTGCATTGGGAATATCTCCCCTTGAAAAAAAAGCACACAAATACGAAGGTATTCTCAATGCAAAGCAATAAAAACTGCTCGAATGGACTTTGCCCCGACTGAAGCCGAACTCACATTTTTCTTCACTCCGAAAATCAATTCTCATCTTGTGATGAAAATGATCAAATCAACGAAATACAGCTCCTGAAAAAGGAAAAAAAACTAACTTGTGTTCCAAACGCTGGAATCAATTAACCAAATCACAGAGGAAAGAAGGAAAGTAAATTGTGAGAGACTATGGCACAAGCCACGTTCATTGAACAAGATGTGACCCAATCATTTCGATTGTTGAGTGGTCACACCATACCTGCGGTGGGATTGGACAATTGGAGTTTTGGTTATGAAGCTTCTAACTCTGTCTTCACTGCAATTGCTGAGGCTGGTTATAGACACGTGGACACATCTTCAGAGTATGGAGTTCAAGAAGTTGGATATGCACTCAAGAAGGGCATACAAGCAGGTGTGGACAGAAAGCATCTCTTCATCACATCAAAGCTCCATGGTGCTCTGACTTGTCGCCAAACAAGGTAAGAGCTGCTCTAAACAACACTCTAAAAGAACCACAACTCAAATATCTTGATCTTTATCTGATCCATTGGCCATCTCAGCGACTGATGGCTTTTTGTTTCATATCACTTTGAAGCACCATTGCGGTGGTGAATTAGACATCGTCTTCCTTTACTCGGTGAAAGGTGTTTTTTTTTATTCATACAAGACAATCAAATATGCAAAGAGGTAATGGAGGGCAAAGTTGGAAATTCAAGAACAAAAACTTTAAAACTGCACATGACATCACGTTCTAACAGACATGAATAGAGAATTAACAAATGGGAGGTTTTTGTTGCTGATATCTTTTGAGAAGGGAGGTCTAAGTCCATTTTGAAAAATGAGGGGATGTTTCAGTATTTAAATGAAATATTAAGGGAGCCTCAAGTCTTTTACCCTTACTTTAAAGAAATCCAGCAATCTGATTAAAGCCTAATTTGTCCGTGATGGGTATATTAAACTTCTTACTTCCTCTGTTAGAGATAACGTTTGATGCTTCTGACAAGGATGGTCTTATCCCAAGAGAGGGGTGTTTCAGTTCAGTATTTAGACCAAAAAGCAAAACTAAGGCTTGATTCTAAGACTAATTACTTCCGTCAGCTGGTCCCCAGTCATCATTTTGCAACCGAAACGGTCCCATTTTTCTGCATGCATGCTACTTCAGCACATGAGGATAAAGTGATAACCATTAACCCCATTTTTCTGCAGTTGCAAACTTAAACTTAGAGCTTCTCAAGCAACTTTCAGGATGTCAAGAAAACCAAGGGAGTCCTTGCTGAGAACACCGTTTATTTTCTGCAACTAGAACTATGGGTCCCAGAAAGATACGCCATAAATCAAGTATTATCGTCACTAGCATTGCTGCACCCAGTGCATCAACAGCCACTCTAGGCAGGTCCCACGTATCACCAGCTTTTTCGTCAATCCTGTTACAAAGTTTGGTTTCATTCAAGAAATTCAGAAAACAACTTAAAAGGTCTCTACGAATTTACTCCACATGTTTTAGATGTACATGTGGCACTTATCATCAATTTGGACCATCATGCTGGGAAATCCGGAATCCATAATCATATTTATAAGAACTCATCAATGAACATCCAAAAAATAAAATATGCACAACAGAATAAATAGAAAATAGCATGAAAAATGACTGGGAAGAAGTCCAAATGCCATATGGCAACAATCTTCCAATCAATGTTTCTACCGTTCACAGGCCACTCGGATTGATCTAATATTGGGATGGTTTGGGTTTTCAAGCACAATTGCCATGCATACAATGGTTCTTACACATAAAATGCCAGATCCCTCTAAATATAAGTCATGAAATAATAATATAGTGTGTGTGTGTGTTATTTTTGGGTCAATTAGAGTTTTAAGGCCATGTTTGGTTTGAAGGAAGAGAAATGCAGGAAAACCTATACAATATTTATAAAGGTTTCCTTTCCTTTCCTTTCCTTTCCTTACTTTTTCCTTAAAACCAAACATAGCCTAAGAGAAATGGGCAAGGAAAAGAAAGCAAGGAAAGTTCAAGGGGACCTTTGTCACAAATGAAAGTTACGGGGGTAATTGTCACTGACCCCATAGTACAGGGGGTCACCGTTCAACAAGCATACCATGCTAGCTTTTTTAGTCATATTAGAACACAATTGGTAAACTACAAAAGGGAAGTGCAGAAAAAATGCACGATAAATTCTTACCTCAAAAACATTGGGAAGCTTACGACAAAATAAATTGCATAAAATAAGGATCCTACTTTGTACATTGATGCTCGGTCCACAAATTGATAATAAGGGAACTGCAAATGTGGGAGGAGACAAGTATTACCAACAAGCAATATGATTCAGTGCTTCTTGTGCCAATAAATATTTCAAACAAAATTCTATCAGACTTTCATTGGCTGAGGCAAGCACTGCCTTAATAAAATACTTTACCTCAATAACAAAGCTAATACTCTATCATGCATTTACCAAATGGGAGTTCACTTTAGTAGCCAAAAAAGGGAGTTTACTATGAGATACATAATTCTCTTTCTGACAGTATTCTCAATTTCTCACAAGAATTCATTATCAACAAAAGATTTGATTTGTAGAGTAGAATGGAATGAATGGCCATCACATCTAGACATCCATGATTAGGTGAGATTCATATTATTTTAGTAACTTAGAGAGCTAGGTTAAATCAGGCAATTTATTCAGATACAAGAAGTGTTGCAAATTTGGAGAGTCGAACTGATCAGAGAAAAAGGTACAACAAGGATCCCAAAAGAGAAAAAAGATGTAACTTTGGACTTCCTCTCCGGTGCTCCCAATCTCCCATGCCTTGGTTCATAGCCCAGACACTCATTCAAATAAAGTTTTCTGTTATGCATAAAAGGGCAAGGATATTTAGGATCGCTCATTCTTTCCCAAAACAAACTATTTAGTATCAAATCTTCATAGTTTCCAAATCCATGATCTTCTACATGAGAGAACTGGATGAAAGGGAACACTTAATATATCTGAATTTGGGGGATAAATCATAGTTCTGATTTTTTTCTGCACACTTTATGCTCATTGGTCAGTAAATCAGCAATCTCTTGCTGATGTCATTTGGAGTAGGCTATACAAAACATGTTAATGGCATTCAACTCTATCAAGGGATATACCTTCTATAAAAATGAATCTTCAATTCTTATATCACTACCTTAACATGACATCCTTCCAACTCCTATCAAATTTACCTATTCCTATGGATACCATAACTGAAGTTTTTTGCAGAAGACCTAATCACCTTGAAACTTGAAAGAGTTAAAACTTTTACCTGTTCAGTCACCTCTTATACCTAGCGCTATAACCTATAAGTTCCTTTAGGCTTTGGATGAATCTTTTTTTTTTTTTTTTTGAGAAAGATAACTGATATATATTCAAAAAGAATAAGGCAAGTTGTACATGAGAGGAAATGCACAAATCAAACACAAAAGGCCAAAAAAAATCCCATAAACCTTTAGAGGCAGATTTTCCCTATGCACACTCACCTTAGCTAACAAATCGGCCACCTCATTAAGCTCCTTCAGAATCCATCTTAGCCCAACTTGCATCAATGCCACCATATCCCTGGCTTCAGTCAAAAAATGAGCCAACCTCCAAGGACCACTGTCCTCTTTCTAACCATTTGATTTTATTTGTTGAATCACCTTATACAGATAAGGACAACATGACCAGCTGTTTAGCAGTCCTTAGCCCTGTTAGAGCAGCTAAGATTTCAGCTTCAGAAGAATCAGCAATCCCAATTGGCCCACTAAAGGCCCAGCAAATGCTGCCACCCATCAAGAACACACCTCCAGTGCCAGCCTCACCATGGTTGCCCACATAAATGCAATCAAAATTAAGCCTTAGCTCTACCACCTACACCCTGATTGAGGTCCACAGACTCCGAACCAAGGATAGGGACATCAGAGTAACTGAAAAATCTCCACAAACTTCCTTTGGAGGTCTCCCAAAGAGATGCCGCTAAAAGCCTCAGAATTCATAACCTACAAGTTATACAAATGAAAAATGTGTGCTTCCTGCTCTTGATAAGAACCAACCTTATTATGAAAATTTCTCCTGCTTCCCTCTTCCCACACCTCCCACATGATTGCATGTGTGATTGTACCACAGTATATTTTTCCTCTGTTGCCTAAACCTCTCACTTGCCACTAACATAGCACATCTTGGATATTCTCAAGAGTAGCCCAACTATTATATCTCATCAGATTTAAAAAAGCATTATTTTATAGTAAGAGTAAAACTTTCATTAAAAGGAAAAAATTCGTCTGATTAGGTTTTAAGGCAACACCTAGATACAATGCAACAATGGAAAAAAAAAAGAAAGATAGATCATGACCAGTCGTCCAAATTACATATTTGTAATCCCAACACCTCCCAAAGTCTGTCTCCAAGATCTTCTTTCTTGACTTGTGCAAATTCAGGCAACACCAAAACCCAGTGTGAGACAGATTACCAACAGCTGCCACCAGGCCTTGTCTTCAAATAATCTTCTATTCCTTTCCTTCCAAATATTCCAGCAGATGGCAAATGGAATACAGTTCCAAATCTACCTGGCCATCTTGCTACCTCTAAGTCTTGGCCATAAAGAAAAAAGCATGCCACAAACGTCTTGCTACTGGCAATGGATGAGAAGCTGATCAGCTGATTTTCCACACCTTCTTAGTGGGAAAATAGGTGTCTTAGGGAATTAAAAAAAAGGAATTAGTAGAGAACTTACTAGATGGGTGGACTTTCCAGATATGGTCACAAGCAAAGGGGGACATTTAGACCTCTTAAGAGAATCCAAGAGCTCCACAACTTCAGAAATCTCAGCTTCACTAAGAGGCCTTCTAGGAGACAAATTCCACGTGGTTCCTTGTTTAGACAAAAGGATCGAGTGGCACTCTTATTCTGAGACACACCAAATAAAGGAGGAAAGGTTCAGCAAAAGGCCTTTTCACCCCACCAAAGGTCAGTCCAGAATTTAATTCTATTCCATTTCCACCTAAAATCTAGTTAAATCAATAAAATAGTTGTAGATGTGGGTGATGCCTTTCCAGGGATTAGAGGGCTTGAATCAAGTACATATATTTGCTTCCTATCCCTGCCACTTGTCCATCTCAATACTAGTTATGTTGATTCCTTGGTGAAACAGGATTCATGTAGCTGACCCCATAGAGTTGGGACAAGGCTTGGAGGATGATGATGATGATGATCTCAATGTTCAAGTTCTCCATGTCCCCTTACTGCAGTTTCAAACTTTCAACAGGTCAGCAGCATACCCACAGCTACATACCTCACAAGTCTATATTTAATGTTTCCAATGGGCAATAGATCCAACCAATGAAGAATGAAATTATAAGAAAAGCTAATAGTGATTGCAGTGGTGATTCTAGGAACACTATTGGATGGGCCTTGGCCCTTGGAGACTTGTTGGCTTCCTATAAGAGATTTGCAACCTTTCAGCCTCCTTGAACTTCTCTTTTAGATGGATCCAAGGGCAATGAATTCAGTTGCTGATGCTCTAGCCAAATCTGGGGTGGATAGGGATTTTTTGTTAGTGCAAATACATTGTCTATGTAATTCTTGATGTCACTAGAGGCCTTTTTGTTTCTTGGTTCTACATTCTCTCATGTACATTCCCCTCCCCCCTTTTTGCCTTGAAATGAAAGTTACCCAGTGTTTTAAAAGCGCAAGGGCCAATTTGCGCCTGAGGCGCAAGCCTTTTTATGAAAGGCACAAAATTACAAAAAAAAAAGCTAAAAAATAAAAATAAAAAAGTCAGAGAATTCCAAAAAAAAAATAAAAAATGCAAAAATATTAAAAAATATTAAACATAATGTTAATAAAAATATAAACTTATATTTTAAAATAAATGATTTAAAAAACCTATTATCTAAAATTAAAATACATAAACATAACATGTAAAGTGTATTCAAATGAAAATTTAAAAATAAAAGCAAACATATAAAGCATTTTCAAGCATGTAAAACCCACACTCTCTTTTTTTCCTTATTTGCATTGCTTCAAGTAGTTAAGAACTAATTATTTGCATTACAAGCTTTACCAAATGTTGGTGGAAATGAGAGATATTTTGATAAACTCATAGTTGCACTGATATAATTTGCATGTCAATGTATCTACATGGCTATAATGAATACTTCCATTCCTTAACCTTGACATTTTCATTTTATGTGGTATCTCAGTCTTTTAGTATTGATAATGCATTGCATTAACATTTTGGTGGTTTTACTACATGATTTCATTTTGTAATTGTTTCCATCATCAAGTTGAAAATTCCTACTCCGTTTGGTAGTTTCTTCCTAAATTTCTCATAAAGTGTTTTCACTTCTGAAGCAAAAAAGGTTTCCTCAAAACCAGAATTGAGAACTTTGATGATGATGGGGATGATAACAGCAATGCCAAATATGATGGAAATGATAATGATGTGGGAAAATCATAGTATTACAGTATCACTTACATTAGAAATTGCTAAAGTCTCCAAGTACGCTATGAAATAAGAAAGAGCCAAAATCCAGGCAGCCTCAGTAACCCACTGAATTTGCTCTGGTAGGTCTGCAATAGAATACCGTAGCCTGCGAAGTGTTATATTTGATGTCACATGGTAAAATAGGAAGCAAACATGAGTGAGAAGGAATGTTGTGTGTGGAACCTGCGCAGCATAGGAAGAAATGTATATAAGTAAACTTTTCCATTTTGATAATAATCAAAAGAAATTTCATTAATAAAAAATGAGAATGCATAGCAAGGAGGGGGTGATGAGCTGATATCCCAACTGAAACAATTAAAATCAAGAGCAAACTAAAAACTACACCAAAATCCAATTTCTAATATCAGCACATAATCTTCCATGATTCCTCTTCCCATTGAAAAGTATTCCATTGCTTTTTTTTTCTTCTTCAAATAGCTCTGCATATAGAAAAAGGAACACAAAAACTTTTGCCTTCGTACTTCCTTGGAGATATGGCCAAGAAGAAAAGGTTTCATGGGGATGAACAAGCCAAAACGCTTGTAATCTATACAATGAAAAGCAGCCGCCCCAAAAAATTTCAGCAACTCTGCGTGAGATAAACAAACATCTAAAATCCTCTTCATTACAATTGTACATTACCATCACAATTAAATGCCATTGCACATGTAATAAAATTTAACTATAAAGCAACCATTGGTGCATTCCTTCCACCAACTTGAGTCAGGGTCCTAAGGAGAAAATTGTTCAGATTCAAGCTTAGTAGAAAATGCACTCCTTGTCCAGCTGCTCCAGCAAAAGTCTTCCATAAGAAAGAAACTAAACAACCCTGTTACCCCTAAATTCAAAGAATTAATCAATGGTAATGTCTTTAGAACTCAACCTCTGGCCTGGGATGTGCATCACATAACTTTTCAGCATCACTCCAATCATCTTCTAAAAATCTATTTCTTGAACTCTCCCCTACCTTGAACTTAGTAAACCCCAGAAAAGACTGCTGAAAACAGAAAACACATGATCCCCTTCCAAATACTGACACCATATAATGAAGAAACCTCACTTGAATTGTAAACAAACTTGGAGAGATACATTTCATGTGTTCAAATCTCCAAAAAGTAAATTAGCTTGTGGAAGCCAGGAAGTCCAATAAGGTCATCAGATAGAAGTTACCTAACTAGACATTTACATGTTCTTTGTAAGAATTAAATGCGAAGTCCAAAAGCCACCTGCTAGACTGTATGTTATTTCTCTCCAACATCCTTATTTGTATGCATTGGTAATGGACTACATAATGGGGGTATCCCTCCCCCAAACCCTAGACCCCCAACCTTAGTGAAGGCAGGACTTGATCCCAGGTCTCCGCTACAACCAGCCAGAGATCTTACCAGCAGGCTAGCTAGCACCTTCATTGTCTCTTTTTTTCACCCTAGAATCAGGGCCTAGATATACAGAAGGTTACAAAACCCTCCATCAAATGCATTGAAAGAATGACTGCAGAAATAGAAATTATTTTTGTCTTGTTTACAAGAAGAGCCACATCATGAAACATTACTAAAATTGTAACAAGAAAGGAAAAAAAATACTCCAATAAAAGGAACTAGCAACAAAGTTAAACAATTTTGTGGCTTACATTGTTCATCTTCCACGATGGAAAGGTATATGAAGCTCCCAAAACCGAGAAGAAATAATGTGTCCAAAAATAGTTTCCAACATAACTGAAGATTACAATCCAGATACTGGCCTGCCAGAATAAACATAGTCATTGTCACTGGTAATTTACTAGGAAACCTCACTTGGTAAAGAAGTTGAGAACCAAAGCCACTAGATTGGTGAGTGGAACATCTGTAACTGGACAAGGGATAACTAATGTCAACAGATATAACTAGCAAATAGATCAGAAAAAACTTCTGTATATACAAATTGAATACAAAAAAGCTCCTTTTATGTGTCAATCATAACTAAAAGAAATCAAAGATCACAAATTTGCATGAAATTTTATTACTATTAATTCAAAATATAATTTGTTATTAGCATAGCTATCCTGGATTGGGCATTGCATATCAGTCAGCACATAAACACAGTTGATGAACAAACTGAAACAAATTCATTGAAAAAAAAAAAATCAAAACAACACCTGTAAAGTAAAAGAAAATAGATATCCATAGTCCATACCATTGGCATGATTCTAGCAACAGACTTAAGCTGCTGGCCGGCCCCAGGCCTAATCATCAGGCACAACAGTTTTAAGCCCAAGTGTGCCCATCTTTCCACTAAGTTATATCTATGTTGTGAAGTTAAAATGAAGCTATCATTATTTACATATATTCACTTTCCAATTGGAAGAGAAGAGTTTCAGATTGCCAGGAATATAAAAAATGATCAAATCAGCTACCAAGGTCAAAGCCTTAAACTTACTGTTCATCCCAGTTCTTAGGAAACCAGATAAAAACAGTAGAAGCATTTAGACCATCATTTGGACCATCAATATTATCAAAACAGACTGGGTAAACAGTAGACCGTTTCCTAGTCAATGTCTTCTACTTTATATATAAAAAGGCTCTTGGAAAGTACAAATGAAATGTTTATATTGACAGGTTAATTATCTTTACATTTATTTACTCATTTTCATAATGTTCCATTCAGGTGGTGATTCAGTTACATCCCATTTCCCCAACTAACGGACAAAAAGTACTTGTTTGAAGAAACAAATTATTTAAGGACAAATTTTATCATTACATATATGGTATGTTTTGTCTTTTCATTGGGAACATGCCATGTTTATATTTGCGTGTAGTAAGAATTAGGCAATCTAAAATACATACCTTTACCCAGTAGCGTTCCTTCCAACACACACCCCTATCAACCTGTGGGACAAAATGCTCCATGAAATTTAAGAAAATTGGAAAACAATAACAAGTAAACTACTGCATGGACTCATCATTCCATCAACTAATAAAAGAAGACATAATGGATTTTCCTATTCAAAAAAAAAAATGGATGTTCCTATTCAATGAATAAATAAAGTGAATAAGACATTAAACCTAACCAAAAATATAGAAATTTTTAGAATTTGAAACTCAAAATCAGTTTCAGTATCTAGAGGATTAAAATCTGAAAGACAGTGGAAGTAGTAATAAGGGAATAATGAGTTGTTCCAAATCAAGAAAGTGAATAATAAACATACCATGAGAAGACAGCAGAAAATAGTATTGATAAACAAGAAAATCAAAGTTGCATGAGTAAGATAAATGAAAGGCTGACCTTCCCAACAAATAAAAGTGGTATTAAGAAAGACGGAACTGCAGACACCAGTCCAAGTAGCAGGTATTCCAATTCAGTAAAGTTCTGTTTATTAACATAGAAATATGTCATTACAGTATGATTATTAACAAGAGAATTAAAAATAAAAGGGGCAATCATGTATCTTTCAAGTTATCTGCGCAAGAATTTATCCAAAAAAGTTATCTGGGAAAGAAAGTACTTGTCATCCTGATACCATAAAAAATGTTGAAAACTCAATTATACCTGATGAAGGGTGATTTGGCACGACCTAACAGGAAGGGGACACGTAAGCGCGATCTGATTAAAGGATGACAACTCAGCCAGGCAGGCCCTGTTCGCAACATTCGCATTTCGAGTACCCAGCCACCTCGGCTCCAAACCCGCCTCGGCGTAGAGGCACCTCGGTATCCAATCCAATTCGGGACTGAAGAATCAAAGTTCCAGCTCGGAGCTAACGGGCCGAAGCGTCATATAACCAACTCCGAAGACCTTCCCAACAGATCCCGAATCTCTTGGGATCACGATGAGCCAACAGATCCTGAATCTCCCGAGGTCACGATAAGAACTCATCCCGGTTCCGCCTTAATCGGAGATGGACAATAAGCCTCATCCACGTACCGCCCTCCTACAAAAGTGGAACCAACCTTATCTCTACAGCTCGGAGAACCCGGAGCTCTTTCGTGAAGCCCACGGCTACTCCAGTATATAAGGACTCGAAATTTCAAGGCAAAGGTACGCGTGATTACTCTACTCTCTAGCACTCAAGCATTCAACTCGCATTTACAGCATACTCACTGACTTAAGCATCGGAGCGACCTCGCCGGGTTAGCTACCCTGGGTTCTCTGATAGATTGTTTTGCAGATCGATCTAGCTCGCCGTCCATCTGGAGTCCAGATCGCCCTCCGGCTAGGAGTAGTCAGATCATGCACCATCAATTGGCGCCGTCTGTGGGAATTCGATCGAAAGGTCATTCCTATCTCTTTGCAGCTTCAAGCTCAACTTCAACTTCAATGGCATCCTCCAGCCACACCAGGAAAAGCGTCGAGATGAACACCACTGAGGTACTCACCACCATGCAGTAACTGGCAGCCCCGCCCTCGAGCTGACTTGTGGGCATGTCAGCCCATTCCGCGACTTTAGCAGGAAAAACGTCGTCTTTACTTTTGAGGAGTCCGAGCCGCGGGGTCATTATGCTCTCCTTCGAGAACTGAGGCTCGGGCACTGAAGCACTCTCGGGCTCACGAGGCGAAGCTCCCTCATCCTAGTCTTCGTCCAGGTCCACAACAGGAGGTTGGGGACGGATCTCCTCCTCCGGAAGCTCGACCGAGATCGGCTCCTACGCAGCGACCTCGGGTGGGGCGGGAACTAAAGGACCGGCCTCCCGACGTGACTTCTTTGAGGCCTTCCCTTTCTTCCCCCTCTGAAAGCTCCTCAGAAGGTTTTCTGCATCGACGTCCGGCATAGCTTTTGCAAGAGAAAAAGGAAGCAGTTAGTCACGACTTGACGTGGGTACAAAATGAGAAAGAGTAATATGAGCGTTGAGGTGGAGGCCTACCAGGAGGACTTAGCCCAGCTCGTAAAATCTTCTCCTCGGCCAAGAAATCTTTCATTTCCAGGCCGAGGTCCCTCCAGGAGTTAACGACCACCCTGGTCTCCGTATCTAGCCTCACCCCGAGGTCCTTGATGGCCACTCGCCAGTGAGTCGGGAAGGGCCACCCCTCAGGGTTCCAGACGAAGAAGTACCTCCTCTTCCAAGTCGGTACTTTGTTCGGGCTGCCGAACAGGATTTTGAATCCAGAGCGGGGGGAGATGTAGTAACTCTGTCGAGTATCTCTACGCAGAATTCTTCTTGATCAAACAGATTGAACTAAAGGTGTCTAAGGAAAGAGGTCGGTTATACTCGTGGAACAAAGAGATCGTGCCAACTATGGTTCGAATGGCGTTCGGGTGTAATTGGTCGATGGTAATATCAAAGAACTTAATAATTTCTATAATGAAAGGGTGGAGTGGAAAGCGCAACCCGGCTACGAGCTGCTCCTCAAAAACCACGAGATCATGGTGACCATGAACCCAAGGGTACTGACCCAAAGGAATACTAAAAGTAAGGTTGTCAGGAAGACGATAACGGGCTACCAAGGACAGTAACCTGTCCGAGGTCATAGTGGAAGGCCCAAAGTCATCCAGATCCCGACCCCGAGAAGAAGATGGGACCCCTTCTCTGGAGGTCGGTCCTTCCACCCGAGCTTCAGGTTCCTCAGGCCGAGATGGCCCGACTTCGGGAAAAGGTGTTTCTCCTAAGAGGTGAGGAGAGGAACTATCTGGCGAAGAGCTGACCTCGCCAGCGGGAGCCGAGGACTACACCTCGGCACCCTCAAGCTCACTAGAATCACTAAGAAGCCTATCTATACTAGCACTAGACATACTGGAATAGGAAAAGGAAAGGAGAACAAACTAATGAAAGAAGACAAACTCGCCAAAAGGACGAAAACAACCTCGGAACACAAAGTAAAGAGTGGTGAGCTAAAAGACTCAGACACGACCTCGAGAGAGCTCAATCACAAGATTTTTGGCAAAGGAAAGGGGCCCTTCGGCCCCCTATTTATAGTTCACCGCATGGCGATCAACGACCGAGACCTGTGCGATCCAACGGCTCCCATGAAAACTGGTTGCACGACACCTGAGGATGAAAACGGTTGAGCGCGCTCTGTGACATCCGCGGAATCTATAAACAACATGACGAAATCGGTTGGGACCCCTGGCACGAGGAGTGGAGGGCAATTGATGAAGGGTGATTTGGCACGACCTAAGAGGAAGGGGACACATGGGCGCGATCTGATTAAAGGATGACAACTCAGCCAGGCAAGCCCAGTTCGCAACATTTGCCATTCAGGTACCCAGCCACCTCGGCTCCAAACCCGCCTCGGCGTAGAGGCACCTCGGGTGTCCAGTCCAGTTTGGGACTGAAGAATCGAAGTTTCAGCTCAGAGCTAATGGGCCGAAGCGTCGTATAACCAACTCCGAAGACCTTCCCAACAGATCCCGAATCTCTTGGGATCACGATGAGACAACAGATCCCGAATCTCCCGAGGTCACGATAAGAACTCATCCCGGTTCCGCCTGAAACGGAGCTGGACGATAAGCCTCATCCACGTACCGCCCTCCACCAAAAGCGGAACCAACCTTATCTCTATAGCCCGAAGAACCCGGAGCTCTTTCATGAAGCCCACGGCTACTCCAGTATATAAGGACTCAGAATCTCAAGGCAAAGGTACGTGTGATTACTCTACTCTCTAGCACTCAAGCTCTCAAGCATTCAACTCGCATTTACAATATACTTACTAACTTAAGCATCGAAGCGACCTCGCCGGGTTAGCTACCCCGGGTTCTCTGATAGACTGTTTTGCAGATCGATCCATCTCGCCGTCCATTTGGAGTCCGGATCGCCCTCCAACTAGGAATAGTCAGATCGCGCACCATCAATACCCTCTCTTTGAATTTCATAAGGATTAAGGAATGCTAATCCCCATTAAATGAAGAAAAAAATCATAAGCATTTTGCAACATCCACTCTCTGAATTTCATAAGAAATACTGATCTCATGAAAATAAAGAAAATAACATAAGGAAAGAAAAATGAGAAATAGTAAGCTTGTTGCTAGGCCATAGTATGTATATACCATTCTATCTCAACTCCTTCATGTGCACCTATATCCATTTATAATACAAAGGGGAATAAACATGAGCTCACCAAGGTCAAAGGGATAAGCTTTGCATTTCTCTCAATCAACAAGTAACTATTCTTAGTTTAATATGAGAAGCTATCTATAATGCACAAATCCAGGTCAACTTCAAGTATAACAATACTCAGCAGTCAAACCAAAGAACCCTAATCAATTTCTACAACAAAAAACAATATTAAAACTATTCCCTGAAAGACCCAATATGCAGATTTGAAATGAAGGCAATCCAAGGTCCATTCATAATAATTCCTAGGTACCATTTGAAAATCACGGCAAATATCAGCTTCGATGAAAGCAGGTAAGTCTCACTACAATAGTACAATTTATAAACTAAACATTTAAAACAATCAAAGTCTCTCGAAATTGAAGCCATAATCTTAGATAAAGTGTACATGTACTTGCATTATAATTTCTAGATAATTAAAACAAACGCAAATTCCTCTTTACATACTGCAAATGGATAACTAAATTCTTTTGTAACTAAAATAAAGAAAAAACAACTATCAAGCTAACTAGAGAGAAAACACATTCAGAACATGCCTCGTATAGTTTGTACGGAACAACGATCCCAAGACAGAGTGTGAGCCAGAAAGGAGTGTACAAAAGGAAAAATATCTCCCCCCATCTCTTGCTCGGATTAGGAGAGAACCAGAGATCCGAAGACGGAGCTACTTCTAAACCTGCGCATAATCCCATCAAAAGATGCCAACTTCTATAAACCCTATAAGGATTAAGCTAAAAATTTTAGGATAAAGTTTACCGCCCATTGTACTCTGATGATCTGGCCGTCAGCAGACTTAGCACTTCGAGCAGTGGATCTCGGCGGAACAGCTGTGAATACAAAAAGCCCTTTTAAGCTCCACTGATACAGTGGTATTCGACCTGTAGATCTTGACACGTCAGCAGACTTAGCACTTCGAGGGCCAGATGCATCCCGGCCGAGTTCAAATCAGACCCCCCCGGTCCCACAGCACACCTCCGCCGTGCATTGATAACATCTCCCCACGATGACAATTTTTGGGATTATCGTAGAGAGATGTTTTCAATACACACCAGGAATGTGATCTGCGACGTTGCGAGGGCAATCTTGTGGGGAGTTCATTTGGTCTCATCCTGGCCAATTTATACATCTTAACAAGTGATGTCGGTTCGCCATATGCTCTCAATTACTATTCCTTTTAAGCAATTTCGACTATAAAATAGGGCTCCGACATTGAGGTAATACACATTAGAAGTCTAAAATATAAGCTCTCTTCTTTTGCTTAGTCCAATCCCTCACAGTTTTCAACTAACTTGATTATAGGAGACTTTGCTCCTGGGATAATTTTTGGGGCCTCTGACACCTTTCCCTAAACATGTTGGATCAGTTAGCCTTGAATGCTGAAAATTATGTTGTTGCCCTTAGTTCCATATTTGATAGCAATAAATTGGCGTCGTCTGTGGGAAATGCCTTCAAACCTTTCCCTCAAGAAAAAACTAATCTAACTTAATCGACTAGTGTCCCTAACATTCGAAACTTAGTCACAATAAACTAGTTCGAGCTAGTCCTAAGCAAGCTAGACAACCTGGCCCATCAATTAGACAACATAGGGCGCCTGACAAAAAGCCACCAATAGAGTAGCCACCCCGCTAGAAGCCATGTACAACGTAGTGGACGATATGCCCATACTATGCTATGCCAACGTTTGGGGGGCCTGGAAGGGGACGATCCCTCGAACTCTGATAGCAATAGCCGACGAGCTAACAAGCCCCCTTCCAAGACCCCTCGACTCCCCAACTGAGTGGGCCGACCCCATAGAATCCCATGCCAATCGCAAGAATCACAACTACAGCACTGTCACATTGCGACCAACTAGGACAATAGCAGGCGTTCAAGCCACCATAGCCCCCCTCCAAGGGCGGGAGGCCAACACCACGCCTCTCCCCCACCAATCTTTGACCTTCGTGACCTCTTCAATGATCTCTACATTCTCAAGGCACATGACGTATCAGCGTTTGAGCACTATGGGAACAAGCCAGGCCCCTCCCGCATACAAGAGAACTTGGATCATTCTAGAGCAATTATGCCCTACATTGACAGTGCCTCAAAGGCATTCAAGCACAAATCCATGCCCTTCAGAACCAGCTTCGACAGGTAATGGAGGGCTGAGGTGACGCTTCCACTTGTTGCCATGCCTCATCCAGCTGAATGGAGGTGTTTTTATCTAAAATGCCCCTCACATTATTTTTTATTATTATCTTAAACTCCCCTCACTTTCGGCATATAATCTTAAAATCACCTTCAATTTTTTATACCTCCATAGACATCGCTGTCAGATGCAATTTTTATCTAAAACTTACCTTCCGTTATATCACCGTTAGTTGAGCGTAAGTCGTATTGGGCTCAGATCCGATTTCAATTCAATGAATCGGCATCCGACTCCAATCTGAAATTTGATTAATTGTATAAACAGTGCAACCGATCTAATTACATAAATACATCATTCAAATATAAAATAATCAAGTTAGATGATAAATCGAACAGATAATAAGAGAAACTAATAAATGAAAGGAAATGAAAAATTAATTAGCTGACCATCCAAAGGAAATAAAAACAGATCACATGGTGATTTTGAATTCTAAACATTCCCATCACTCGTGTATCCGTGTTTAGTCGGGTACATAAAGCGTATTTTCATTAACTTTAATTTTTGTCTTCATAATCCCTTAAATCCTCATTAGCGTTGAAAATGATGTAAATTTGAAACTTTAGACTGCATTTGGTTGCAGTGCAAATTTATATATACTCATGTAAACTTAAGGTAGTGCAAATGATTTGAATGTAAATCTTGATATTTTTTAAATTTTATTTTAATTTTACAGTGAAGGAAAACAAGACCTGAAGTAGAATAATGTGAATCCAAAATAAAATTATGCCAGAATTTGCATTCTTTTTATTTACACTCCCATATATTTGTAGTAATGCAAATAAAATTGCATTGCAATCAAACAATAACCTATAGTCATCCAAATCCAATAAAAAAGGAAGGAAATAAAGCAAGAGGACAAATGCTTATATAATTAGGCCCTGTTCTTTTTAATTTACTTGGGCAAGTGAGTTTATCTGAATAAGTATTTCAGAAGCAAAAATTGTCTGAGTAAGTTCAATTCCAACATTCTTATTCAGTGTAATTTATCTTGATAAAGAGAGAGATGAGAGGGAAAGAATATTATCGGCGACCAAATAAGCAACTTACCCACACTAGGGTATCGACTAGTCAAGTGGCTGATACTCTCCGAAAAATTCAATTATTGTAAAACCCAATATAATGGGAGATCATGGACAATTATTCAATTGACCAACCTCAAACGTAAAATACGAGCAAACAAACAGGGCCTTAGATTCTATAAAACGGTATAATCCCAACTGTCCCACATCCATCAAAATTTGTCCCGCCCATGCCCAAACTTGGTTAATTGTTATTGACCATCCAAAACAAGGTATGTGGAGATCGGATGGTGGTGCCGATGTTAACTGGATCCATTCCATTGTACTCTCCAAAGAACCCATATTCAAAGTTTGTTCACGTGTACGAAGCGAGTTTTGAAATGCTGCATTCAAGATGGACTGTTGAGAGAATTTTTAGAAATGTTATGTTATCATATATAGATAAATTAATAATTACATCTTAATTTATTTTAACTAAAACCTAAAACATGGGCATGAATAAATAAACTGCCCAAAACGTGTCCAGCCCAAAAACTGTCTCAAGACTTTCAACAACCCATACTGTTGGACCCCAACAGCAAATGTAAACTCATTCCAGTCCCACCTGGCCACTGTAAAGAGTGGCAAAACACTCAGTCCATTGCTCACTCGTATTGACCCCAACAGGAAATGGAATCTACTCGTGCGAGTAGATCCCACGTGCGAGCACCCATTTCTAGTAATTAATTACAGTAATTTATTACTATATAATTATCAATTAATAACAATAATTACTAATTAGTTATTAACTAATAATATTAATTATTAATTAATTACAGTAATTAATAGTGTAATAACATGCACCCATTTCCAGTAATTAATTACTGATTAATTATTAATTAATATCAATAATTACTAACTAATTACAGTAGTTAATTACTATAATAATAATTACTGGTTATTACAGTAATTTAATAAATATATAATTAGTGATTATAATTAATAATTACTGTTATTGTAAATATTATTAATAAATAGATATTTACTTAAATCTTACTTTAAATTAAAATTATAAATACTATTAATAAATATAGTAATTATTGTTATATTCAAAATAATAAAAATGTTATTAAAAATATTGTTATTGATTATTTAATAAAATATTATAATTACTGAATATTATTAATAAATGCTGTTAATTTAATTTAATTTTGGTAATTATTAATTTAATGAATATTGTTAATAAATCCTATTCATAAATTTAATAATTACTGTTATATTAAAATTAAATAAATAATATTATTAAAACTATCATTAATGATTATTTAATTAAATAGTATAGTTACTTACTATTA